AAGCTGGGTCGTTCAGTCGGCTACGCTTGTCCGATCCAACTGACAGACCTCAAGCGGAGCTCAAAGGTATCGTTTAGGGCTCCTCAACAGATATGGTTCATGCATCAAAATATCAAGGAAAATATCATTTGATGGCCCAACATATCAAGGTCGATTTGCTTGAAAATTACGCAGACACATTCCAAGAGTTTTCTTCTCCATCCATGATCTCGGATCAACATGTTTCCATGGGGGGTTCCTGGTTGAAGCCACCACCAGCTGATCCTAGGAACATTTCTTGCTCACAGCCTGCTTCAGAGCTTGCAGCATCCAAGATGGAAACCCCACGAGCACAGCATACCTCAGCCGCCACCGTCGGTGGTCACACGGGTCACACGGGTCACACGGGTCACACGGGTCACACGGGTCACACGGGTCACACGGGTCACACGGGTCACACGGGTCACACGTGGCACGTGTCGGCAAACCGGGCTACGGGGCGTCGATGCGATGCTTCGCAGGTGAGGGGCCCAAATGCTCCATGGAGTACTTGGAAGTTAGCATTGACATGCATTGACCCAAAAAATGTTCCAAACGACTCAAATCTAGGTTTATCATGGTTTATCCATCTATGCATGTAATTACCATACATGGAGCAACCAAAATGTCAGATAGAATGAGTAGTGCAACCTCATTTCCTGAATCTATGCTTTTTTTGGCCTGTTTGGCTTGCCTCCTCTCCCCCAACAAGTTGAAACTTAGATGACGGTCAGGGTTGCTGAGGTTTCTGAATTGCCCATGTCTTCTTGTGTCCCAGGCATCAAACTAGGATATACATCCATGTGTAGATCAGTATTTTGTAGTCCGCAGGCAATCTTAAATGTTGGTTTGTTGTTCTCAGCCAAAATACGACTAAAGAACAAACACCAAGACGCACGGGTTGAGGCACCACGAAAGAAACACATCAACCAAAACCCATGTTTTTGGTGGCAACACGCGCACTTGAACTGGCATGATTTTGAGAAACATGATCCTTTCAAAACATTTTCCTACAGATGTAACAAGTTTTGGGTGGATTCTGATTGTAGTGTTTATGTCCTGGTTGTTATCCCCGAAGGCAGAGGGTACAAACCTGCCAAAGATTGGCTACACATCAACGACAGTTGATGATTTATGCCGCATCATCAGTTGCTGTCGTGGATGTATGGCCAATATGACAAACCCATTGTCATTGTTTGCTCCTTGGAAGTGTGAATTTACTGTATTTGGCCTTTAATTTTAGGCACCAAACTTTGGAGCAATGGCCCATTTCTTTGTTGGTTAGTGCTATACTGCTATGCTAACTGGTTCGATGGGGGGGGGCACTCCAATCCACTGCTGGAAGCAGTATCAACTAACCAATACGTTCATTATACAATGAGGTGACAGACGACAGAAAGATTTTGGGACTTGTTCAGCAATATACCAAACCCTGCCATTTCGTTGGTATTTGGCGGTTATTGAAGAACTTGACAGAACGATTATATATATAATATGATTGGGGGTAGTTCTAGGGTTTACCACATTTCAACAACGCCAGAACGGGATAGAACGGGTAGATCTACCGCCCGAACTAGGAATCCCCGATCCAGCTACACCCCTTCATTGACCAAGTTCATGAACAGCTCCCCAGATTTTTGTTGGCTTTATAAAAAATGACCTTCACATATCCACCGCACAATCCTCACTTTTTTCCCAATTCAAAATAACATGACAAAAAAGGTGGCACACCCTTTTTTTAATAAGTTGGTCGTCTATAAATGTTTTTAACTAGGCTGACCATTGGATTTATGGTTTTTCGGTTCATCGTATACTGGTGCTATTCGTTTTTTGGGGCAATAGGATGATTATTACTAGTGATTATGGAATATTATGGATCATTCCCAGATTCCCTACTACCCAGCTATGGAAAATCACCATCTTTAATAGGTAAATCAACTATTTCTATGGGTCATTTTCAATAACTATGTTTGTTTACCAGAGGGTAAGCACCAGTAAGCCATTTGCAGTGGTCCATTCGGTCGCAGGCTGTGCAGCTCTTGCAGAGCGATGGCAGCTCGGCGCGAAGCTGCGAAGCTGCTGGCTATTCGAAGTAGGAGCCATTAATTATGGGTTTAAATTATGGTTTATTCATGGTTATTCTACTAAACTATGGTATGATTTATCTCCAATTGGGACATTCTAGTAGCCATTATTCTATAGTGTATACATATTTATGTATATATATATATAAGATAAATAAATAAATATATATATATATAATTATATATACATATATATATATATATTTATAATTATAACTATATATATATATATACATACATATATTTATACAATATCAATATAACCTATTTGTCTGAATGCTAATGACGCCAGACATATAATGGTTCAACACAATACTGTATGTCATGGTATCTATAGATTTAATAGATAGAACCTATCGGAGTATAAGATCTATTTTCAGTGGGTGTCGTCATTATCAATTATTATCATATATATATATATGTGACTGTATTGGAATATAGCAAAGTATTTGCCTGAAAAAGATAAAAAGGACGTCACGGCGAGGCTGCCGTAAGTGGTTCAGTGCTTGAAATTTGATGTGCAACTTTAAACGTGGACATGGATAGGACTATGCGTACATATATGCTATGTATACAAGTATCACTTGTATATTTACATTTTTATTTATAGCTGCACAAAATGTGAAGACAGTATCCTATTTAATGTCAACCCCGGATTAATAAACCATGGTTTATTAATTAGGGGGGTACTCCTCCAATAGTCATAATCCAATAGTACCCCCCCAATTAACCAGCCCAAGGGTTTATTAATCCAGGGTTGACATTATACCGTAGCCGTTCAATGAACGTCATCATCGCTTATAGAAGATGCTTCGACCATCATGGATTTCTACCACCCGAAGTGGATTCAGGAACCCAAATGCTGATAATCATTGATCCAACCAGTCAAATGATTTAATATTGACCATGCTTGTACCTTGCAGTATACATATGCATGTATATAATTGTATATATATATATACATTGTTTGGATTTGTCAAAGTTATTCCCATCTTAGGGATGCATTTTGAAATATTCATGTTCTACCTACTCCAGGATGACTATTTATATGTATTGCAGAAGATAGCTATACCACAGTATATACAACATTGTATAGATATGATTATTACACTGTGTATGTATACATTACATATGTAACAGTGTGTAGATGAAACGATGTGTATATACAAATATGAAAACGTATGTATGCATCTAAGAATACATTTGCATAGTCATGAAATGTCATGAACATGTTTGCGTATAGTCCTTTGACCATGTCAGTCCATGGATTTTGCTTCAGTCCCATTGATGAGGTTTCATTGCTTTCGTGCAACGCGGGCAACGCCTTGCGAAGGTGCGAATGTTGCATGACTGGGTTGGAGGAATCACATGAGTATGGATCAATACCTATTAATACCATTTTTAGGGGGATGAACATCCATTTACCAGCTATTTTGATGTTCACCAGGGGTACAAGGTTTTGACACACTGCCACATGTCAAAATCATCAACCTTCCAACTGGGTGGTAAAAAAAATACGATGTAAGAATAGTTATAACCAGTCTTGTGGCTGATAGGTGCCCCAATTTTGATTCCCAAATGATTCCATACCTCGCCATGGGATTGTTTGAACATGTTCCAAACGTTTCCCTTCAACGGAGTCTAGGACATAGAGACAGGTGGATGTGACCAACAAAGATGAAAGATATGTGACCAAGGATCAAGGTTCAAGCACTTGAATGATAAACACGGAGTTTGACGTGTATTGAAATGTCAGGTTTTTGTTCTGTCCCCCCCCTCTCTCTCTCGTTTGGACTCTTGGTTTTGTTGAGGGTGAAACCACCAGATGAGTGGAGGTCGTGCTTTTAAACACCCATGATGGGGAGGAGGAGCGTTAAGAGTAGAAGCCACAATCGTGCTTTTCTTTTGACATGTATCCCTTTGATGGATGCGTTTCTCAACCAATACATCTATGACATTAACATTGGTTCAGTGTCCCATTTTTGTCGGTGAGAATCCGGAGTTGTTGTTGGTGATTTTTCTTACATCCCTGCAATGTTAACCATCGTTAGTAACCACCAAGTTTATTAGTAGGGGCGGCATCAATTTTGATAGAAATTTCTCATAGTTGACTATCGTCGATCACTAATTTGGGGTAACCCTCGTAAGCCTCCAATTTTAAAAAGGCCGGATTGCTTGATCCGTCCACTTTTTTTTGTGTCCCAGGAACGTCGCGGCCCACTGTTCTGTGCTCAGCTTCCCATTTGGGGTTAGCGAATGCCTTGCTGAAGATGATTGGTGTGTTCTCCCAATGGGAAATCCACTACTTCCTGTGGGGGAATCGATCAAGTCCGGATCAGCAAATCCAAGAATGCCTTCATTTTTCATTCACATCAACTCATCAATGGCTTCAGATGCCTAAACTGGAGCTACTGTACCATTTTTGAAGCCATATGTCAGGGCTATCTTCCCCGAAATTTAGCTCTCACATAGACCTTTAAAAAGTGGTACGTACCTCCAAACATCAGTACCTGAAATGGCCACTGACCGGGCTTCGAAAATCTCCAGCTACGGCTGATATTGTGAGTTTTCCAAGAACGGGACATTTACCAACCCCTGGAAATTGAATCAATTTACAATGGAATCCCAAAATGGCTTTGATTTTAACTGGACGTCCATCCAACCCAAGATATCCCAAGATGCTGTTTTTGGGGATCCCTTGAGACAAATCAGGGCATTATTAAAGAACAACTTCAACGAACAAGCAACAAGTCTGATTTAGAAGCCATCGTTTGGGGATCGACATGAATTGGCAGAGCAACAATGGATCGTTTGATACTGAGGCACTCTTTGGTATCATTGCTTTTTTTCCACAAGAACGAAAAAAGAGATAGCTCAACAAAACACATTTGTTCTGGATTGCTTAATGCTGCCGTGAACCGTGCTCTGCTCAAAAGTTGAAAGAGTTTGACAGCGAAGATTCACCCGGGACACCCTTGGACGACCTGGAGTTGATGCACAGTTTCCTTCAGAAAGCCTCATAGTATGCCACCAACATGCTTGACCACCCTTAAAATCTATGAGACCCTCTAAATTCGAAACATATTCGAAACATATCATATATCATCCAACTTTTCTCACCATGTAGGTCACTATTAAAATTGATCTTGATGATCGTGATTCTACTTCCCTATAAAAACCCATATTTTATATGTTCCAATGTCAAAATTTCCAACATTTTCTCAGAGGTGTCCCAGAAAAACCTCAGAAAATCGACGGTGGGATCCCCCGCCGTTGCATGTTTTTTCACCGCGCCTGCACCTGCTGTGCGCCGCCACCGAAGCCGCTTCGGTCGCCGCTTCGGTCGCCGATGGCGGAGCCGATGGCGCTGGCCGTGGAGCTAGAGCCGATCGGTGCCTTTGGAAGACCTGGCGGAGTGAATGTCTTGGGACTTATATGGGGATGGATCAATACTCATGGTTAATAACCATTAAAAACGGGGCTAGTCATCCAATGGTGATTTAATGGGATTTATAATAACCATTATTTTTGGATCCTTATTATGGATGGGATGACCATCAACCATATAGTGAGTATTGACCATGGCTCATATGGGGATGGGTCAAAACCTAAAGTATTACCATGTTTTGGGGGAATAAACATCCATAAACCAACTTAGGGTACCATCCGGGTACCAGGGTTTTGACTCATAGCCATATACCAAATAACCAGCCTTCTCTACTTATAGAATCATATTAAATATTATAATATATATATAGATATTATACATATTTGCATGAGTTTACATGATTTTATATACCAGATATTTCAATGTACGTAGGTGATTGGCCTCATAGGTATATCCTGTAGATTTACGGGGTATACAAGCTTACATAAGTATATCAACTATAGAATAACAAGCCTGATATACTTATATGTTCAGTAATGTACTTATATAGCCACCTATATTGAAGACTATTAGATGCCCTTGGACTTGTACTACCCTATTTTTTTTTGGGGAGTATGATAAGTCGTAGCAAGCAAACCGATCAACCAACTAGTATTTCATGAGATCGCGGAGGGGTATGTTTAATGGCTCACTTGCTATGGCCTTTTGGTACTGTGTTTTTTTCTTTTTATCAAGTTGTACTATGTCTACAGAAAGTGTGATTTTCAAAGTCACAAAGTACTTATTCTAGTGGCAACCCCCAAGAAAAATGTAGAAATGGAAGTTCTTTATAAGCCGTTATATGATTGCTATTTTCTTTGAAGCGGATTTGACCTGTCAGCCCATCTGGGTGCCATGCGCCATAACCGAGTCCAACATATTGATCTACACCGCCATAATCATGGCCGTTTTCGCAGCCAATGGATTTGACATCAAACAGTGATAACTGGTTGGTGGTTTGGAACCATGGAATTTTATTTTCCATTTCATATATGGATATATATGGGATGTCATCCTTCCCATTGACGAACTCCATCATTTTTCAAGATTGTTAAAACATGTTAAAACCACAAACCAGATAAAGTATGGGCATGCACAGCATGTATTTAATCATCAACCAGAGAGAATTTTCGCATCGAAATATGGGGATCTAACATGGTCATTAGACATGATATGATGGAGATTTAACCAACAAAAAAAAAGATATACCCTCTGGTAATTTGACATAGCTATTGAAAATCACCATGTTTACATATGTAAATAATCTATAAATGGGCAATTTTCAATAGCAATGTTAAATTACCAGAGGGTACACGATAAACACCGGGTTTTCAGAACAATGAGGAGAACTGAAGAGCCATGGGTGGTTGGAGATTCCACATCTTCGTGCTAACAACATGGTGGAGTGAACAACCCAAAACAACGAAAAAAACAGACAACAAATGTTTAATTCAAACAGCTGAAGAACATGAGAAGAGAACATATCGAATTAAGCGATCATAAATGTTTGCTAACTTCATCCAAAATAAATGGCATTTGCCAGTGTAATTGCAGGGTTCTGCTCAGGCCAGTGGATGAGACTCCTTTCGGCCAAGACAAATCTATCAACATGACATGCAGATGTGACTGTACCTCTAAATCGACCAACAAAATCGGACGTTTGTCTTTTTATCCTTGTTTTGAAATATTATTCAGACTGAACATAGTTCTGTGACAGTATGTTACAGTATTGTATAATTATGTGTCCATATCAAGTTCACTTGATTATACTTGATGAAAATTTATTTACACAAAAACGATGGGTGTCTTGGCCCATTGTCACCATATACCCATATCATCCCATATGACCACATCTCCCCAGCGACAGGTGGTGATCCTCACAATGCCGTACAGATGAGGCGGTTTTATCGATGACTCAGACTCAGTCAACCAACTGGGATGTCAACATATGTCAACCAAAAAATAGAACCACAATTCTGTGATGTATATGCAGTGTTTATATGTGTTTATATTATAATATATATATATTATATATATATATGTTGTGGTTTTGAGGTTCTGAATAGTCAAATATCAGCTCATGAAATCTATAACCAATCATGTGAATCATGTTATACACTGGTTGTTACGTGAAATGTAAATGAGTCATAAGATGTCTTTGTTTGTTTGGCGGTTTCGACTCTGTTCGTTCTGACTTCTATCCAGAATCCACCAGCCTGACATGGTCGCAAAAAAAGCGCCCAACAGGCCTGTGCGGACCATCTATGAGGACGACAAGGGAAAAAGTGGATGACTTTGGCGATAACTGCTCATGTTTACAAAAAATGAACAGCATCCAGGGCGTATACATTTCAATGTTGTTAATGTGCTTGGTCATTCTTTCACTGCTCGTAAAAGATGTTAGAAGTGGCCGTATTTCTCTTTCACAGTCCTGTCAATCGGGTTGTTACTGTCTTTTCTTATTAGTATTAGATCCAACCTTACACAACACCGTCAAATAGTAACCATATGTTGAACTACTGTACTGTATCACTCAAGTCGTTTGCCACAAAAACTGGAGTTTGCAGCATATCGTATCACTGTTGCAGGATTGAATGTTTTGCTCAGTTTGTTCCTAGTCTGAGGGAGTTGAATATTCCTTTTTGTTTCTTAAATAGTGGTAAACTCCACCGGATGACTTATTTGCCAAGGAAATGTGAGGTGTTTGCTCGAGTAGTCTACCCCCTCACTCCATGTCATTCCACAGCTTCAGGACATTCCCGAAGGCCGAGCCATGTGGGAACCAACGGGCCCTTGGTGGTTGTGTTATATACATGTAAACCACCTGGCAGCTTGCATTATCAATCCAGGAATGGACCAATTTACATGTGGTCCCTGGGGCATATTTCTAATCGTTCTATCTAAATGATGTAAACACCTACATTCAACCAATCATCAACTGGGATTAGTGGTTTGTTAGGCCCCAGCAGATTACCACTGAGAAAATGGGGCATCTAATTACCAACTACCAGTTACTGCAACCATTGTTTTTTTCAATAGCCATGCCAAAGAGTTTCATCAGTTTGATCAACTTATCATTGTCAGTTGTTCCCAGTCGTTCCCTCGTAATTATAACCATTGGTACACATTGGTTATAGGGAACCAATTTGAAATAGGGAACCATTATAACCATTGGTTTTCCAATAGCCCACACATTGCGAAGCAAATTTGATCCACTCGTAGGTGGCTTTGTTGTGAAGATGGTCCAGGACCTAGGACCCAACGCTGGGAAACCTCTCGCTTGGGATGACCTCCGAAGTTGACCACCGACAAAAACGACTCAACGATGGTTGAGAAGTTACTGTCTTCCCTTGGCATCCAAAACCATCAAAGTCGTTTTATCCAAAATATCATCTTACTGTTTATCATATGTCCTTGGCATCCAAAATATGTTCAGTCCACCCATGTTCATTAATATGTGCGTTTGTTAGCTGAAAACAAAATCCTGGCGGTCCAGGAAGAAACATCACAGTACAAAAAATCTATCACTCCAAATGATATCCTTCTGTGGGAATTAATATGTAATTCTGTAATTATATATTAATGTATATGAATATTAGTGTGGAAATATATGAATACAGTACACACTAATGAATATATGAATTCTGTAATTCTGATATTCATCTGTATATACAAATATATGGATACACACTAATGTATGCACACTGGATGTTTTTTTGCACATCAACACAGACAGAAATCAAACCGGACTTGGTGGCTGACCTCCCAAACCTGCCGCGGGAGCAGAAAATCTGA